GGGAAAACAGCAACCCTAACGGTCTAAAATTAAAGAATACAGTTTATTACTATTCTATACCTACCTTAAAAAATAAAATTTACTTCTTAAAAATAATCATTATTTGCTGTAGAATTATGAAAACAATTTACTCTCTAAACTCATGTTATTTTAATGCGCTAACAAAAAGTAAAACAACAAAAGCCAAGAGAAAAAATTCTAAGAGAAAACTATTCTAGTTAGGTACACAGAAATGGAAAAAAAGGCAGAAGCGAGCTTCATTATACAACAATTTATAAAATTGTTCTTACAAAGTAACTGTGTTAACTATTACTAAGTTTAAACACATACTCGTACTCACTTGACATACAGACAGTCGCGATGTGCGTGTCTCCATCACTTTGGACGGCATTTAATATTCCTAAGCATGCTTTAATCACTCCCGATCACTATTGACAAATGCCAGTTTTGTAAGCGTAGAGAAAATACTTTTTTTTTTTTTTTACCACATTCACACAAGTCACAGTCCCAAACTAAGCAGAGCTTGTACTATGGGTACTAGACAACTGATATAAATACATATATACTTTTTTTTTGTAAATACATACATATTATACATAGAAACACCCAGACCAAATCAAACATTAAATGTTAATGCACACAAATGTTTGACTTGAGCGGGAATCGAACCCGCGACCTTTGGAATAGCAGTCCGTTACGCAAACCACTACGCCATTCGGTCCATCGCCATTTTAAAGAACTGTTTTCAAAATATGTGCAGTAATATGGTAATGTCGGTCATCGCGGTAAAAAGTTGCCTTTGTTACACGCTGATCATGTAGCTTTTAAAATCGGATTAGTTGTTTAGTCGTGAAAGCGTCACAACCAAAGATACTTACTTTTACATTTAAATAATATAAGTATGGATTATTTTTCCATTCATCATCATCATCATCAACAGCCTATACTAGTCCACTGCTGGACATAGGCCTCTCCTTAGGAAGGAGGTTTTGGCCTATTATACCACGCTGGCCAGACGGGTTGATATAGGGTTTGTTTCAAGTTTTCCTTCGCTGTGCAGTGCTGTTGTCCTGCTTAGTTTGCTCCCTTAGTCGGCTTTTACGACACCCACGGGATGAATTGGGGTGATGACAATTTGTATTCTTAATCCGTCACCACACGGAAGTACAATACTGTCAAGTTAACACTGGAAGTATGGATTATTTTTCCATTATTATGATTATAATAAACTATAACAAACTAGGCGGGGCCTGTACTGTGATAACCAGCCTGCTGATAAACATACTTATGTATTTCTAAATACATACATATTATAGATAAGTTATACCCAAACAGAACATACATCGTGCTCATCACACAAAAATTTCTCCTGGGTGGGAATCGAACCCACGACCTCCGGCTTAGCGGTCAGGGTCACTAACGACGTGGACATCCTGATTTCTAGTGGGAGTGTGTTCCATAGGATTACAGCTTGAAGGGAAGGAAGAATGGACCATACTGGAAATATGTGAAGGACAAAGAAGGAGAGTATTGTTAGAAGAGCGAAGAATTCTGTCATGATTAGAGCAGAGATATTGTAAGTGGAATTTTAAGTAGGTAGGTGAGTTAGGTGAGTGGAGAAGAGAGTGTAGCATAGTCAGAGCCCTTGAACTGCGGCGCTGTCTTATAAGTAACCATGAAAGTTGCGTACGGTAAGCGGATATGTGATCATACTTTCGCAGGTTGAATTTGAATCAAATCCAATTGTTGAGAAGTAGGTCTAATTTATTGAGCAGATCTCCATTCAAGTCGAGATAACACACATCACCGTAGTCGATAAGTGGAAAAATTAAACTCTGCACAATCATCATCTTTGTTTATCTTGGGAGGAAACTTTTAAGGCCATAGAATCCTCGTAAAATATTCGTAACCTTCTGACTGATGCTGGTTACCTGAGTATCCTATCAATGGATTAAAAACGGGGTACCGGACTGTGGCTTCTTCGAATTACCAGTTGCGAATATCGTTATGTTGGGTACGAAACCTGGAAAAAGATTAAGAAATAAAGTTTAAAAGTACCTCCAAAAGTATTATAAGGATTAAAGGATTAAGAATACAGAGTGTCACCACCCCTATTCATCCCGTGGGTGTCGTAAGAGGCGACTAAGGGAGAAAACTACGCAGAACAACAGCACTGCACAGAGAAGGAAAACTTGACACAAACCCTATACCAACCCGTCTGGCCAGCGTGGTATAGTAGGCCAAAACCTCCTTTCCAAGGAAAGGCTTATGTCCAGCAGTGGACTAGTAAAGGCTGTTGATGATTATGATGATGATGATAAATATACACTTCGAATGAATAAAGTCTGTTTGGAATTCCACTGATACATTCAGAGATGTTTTCATGAGAATCTTTAGAACACAGACGTATTTACGAGTATGATTAGATACGCTCTCGTTTTATCACTAATAATCGAGCATTGCAATTCGAGTGCCGTTGAATGGATAAGATATATGTTAGCTACGATCAGTATTTGAGTAAACGACAAGCGTGTATTTAATGTGGTAGATGTCGGCTAAAATCAAAATTGATCGATGGACAATCTGTACTCCAAGATCACATTTGCATTGTCCGCCTGACAGAAAGTTTTTTTTTCAATATAAAAAGACAACTCCCGCATTAAGAATAAGTATATCCTGTGTCGCGGGGGACTTTACAAACATACATGAAACGGACACAAAGAACACCCAGACTCAGAACAACAATTTGTGGATCACACAAAGTGTCGTCCCATGTGGGGATCGGACCCACAGCACTTAGCGTAGTAGTAAGCAGCGTGGCGACCGCTTAAACCACTACGCCATCCGTGCAGTTAAACATTTTAACTGAAGCAGACTCTTAAAACATTTACTGGATTTCATTTCAATGGTTAAATAAAAAGTATTTACCCCACAGTAATAATCTCACTTTAATACAGAAACTACATAGCTATTGTATGTTGTAAGTACTTCTTTTGCATTGGCGATTTCTTTGTAATTTCTTCTTTGCATAAATATTCTTAACAATACTAATTTTCTTTAGTATTCTGGCTGCATTTGTTTTACTTATTATCTTTATTTTACTTAACTTTTATTTTCTGAGTTAAATCAATCTCGTATATTATGAGAAAAGAACTGAAGAATTAACCCCGAACAATAAGTGTTAGAGTCATCTGGGTTCAAACGTTTAAAATTCGTATAAAAAAGACAACTCCCGCATTGAGGAAGTTGACAATGTAAAATTTCTTGGTATTATTGATAAAAAATTAAACTGGAAAGCTCACACAGAAGCTTTAATAAAAAAAAATAGTGGTTGTTCTTACGCCATATATAAATTAGTCCCAACACTTAGCCTTGATGCCCTTTTTACAGCGTACCATGGGCTGATTTCCTCCAATCTTAGATACGGCGTTATCTTTTGGGTCAATTCTTCTAATAAGGAACGAGTATTTAAAGCCTAGAATCGCTGCTTAAGGGCTATGCTCAAAGTGAGAGTTACTGACAGTTGTAAACCATATTTAAAAAAAATTAAATTCTTAACACTGCCTTCCCTCTACATCTTAGAAACCGTAGTATTTGTAAAAACAAATCCTAATTTATTTCCACGACTGTCTAACGTAGTTAACCGCAACAGACGCAACAGTAGCAAACTTTGCCTACATACATCAAAAACTGCTATAATGCATAATAGTATATTTTGTAGGGCCCCAAAAATCTATAATAAAGTTCCTAGACTTTGGAAAGAACAAAACAATGAAATATTTAAAAATAAATTAAAGAAAGTCCTAGCATATAAAGCTAATTATGATATTGATGAGTTCCTACATGATAAAATTGATAATTGATCTACTGCTCCACTGGTATTGCTTATTAATTTAAGAACTTACAAATCTGAAAAGTATTGTAGTAAATAATAATGTAACATAATTTGATAATTTTTAATAATTGTATAATGAATAATATTAATAATATAAATTAATGTATTAATGTCATGATTAATATGAATATAATGATAATAATCAATTCATTCTGCATTGCATAAATATAAAAGAATTATAACATTTTGGGATGATTATAATTAATGCTCATAATATATTTGTACGAAACAATGACTAAACATGCCTGTCTTTATAGTCTAACTGCGTATGTATACTCGTGTTTTAACAAATAAAAATGTCTTTGTCTTTGTCTTTAGGAATAAGTATTAAGGAGACTTTAAAAACATACATGAAACGGACACAAAGAACACTCAGACTCAGAACAACAATTTGTGGATCATACAAAGTGTAGTCCCATGTGGGGAGCGGACCCATAGCACTTAGCGTAGTAGTAAGCGGCGTGGCGACCACTTAAACCACTACGCCATCCGTGCAGTCAAACGATCAGGTAATGGACCGAAGATAATATTCTAAGAAAGCATCTTTTGAAGAGAGTTGCTTCGCATTAGGGTGGCACGTTCACCCAGTAATGAATACCTTTATCTGATCTTAAAGATGTGCGAAATGATTTGTGGGAAGCATTTAGAGCTTGTAATTACAGATTATGTAGACTAGCTCACATGAAAATAAACCCCACTGCTTTTGTTTTATTTACATTCTCTCATGTGTTCGTCAAATTATAAAATGCTTCATTTTCATTTGACCACATAAAATTCGACCGTGACGCCTGCACGAAAAGGATTATATTCTAATAACAATTTCAAAACAGACTTAATTTTGGCTAACGACCCTACAGAAATGAAAATAAGAAACCAAATTAACTTTGCAGCCATTGATGTTCTAATACTTAAGAATGTAATTTAAAATGGTTCTTGCGAACGAGAAAATAATGCTTCTTCAGTTAGGAAATGTAATTTATTATAATGTGATACAAACATAGAGCAATCATCTCACTGACCACAAGTTTTGGATATAAAAGGGTGTCAAAATACTATATGAACACAGTTCTAGTGTCAATTGACAAAAGTACACGTGTTTTCCAAAATGTATAGTGTACTATTCTTAGTCACCGTTGCTAGTGCCATAGCACTACCAAACCCTGACGAAGTTAGTCCAGTGGATAAAGTCCAGGTTATCAAAAAAGACTGTGGAAGTGGAATTCTTAGTCTTACGTGTTTAAAGCATGGAGCTATAGCATTGCTGGAGAAGTTAAATAACAAGGATGAAGTGGCTTTAATCCCTGGTGTTAGTTTAGTGAAAGAAGATAGAAAATCTAATTATGAAGAAGTGGCTACAGACCTAGCGAGGTCCTTCTCAAGTGATCAAGAAAATAAACTTGATAAGTCTTTGTTGTACCATGTGGGCAGTTTTCTGGACTCACATTCAGTCAAACTGAGACTGTTGGATGATAATGCTGTTGAGGAAGCTAAATCTGCAATGGAAGAAGGCAGAGGCAGGAAGAAGAAGGGTGGTATGGGTGGACTCATCGCTATGGCGGCTATGATGAAAGGTATGTGATTGTAGTAGTTAATAGAGACTTACCACCCCTATTCATCCCGTGGGTGTCGCACTGCAAAGAGGAGGAAAACTTGACACAAATCCTATACCAACCCGTCTGGCCAGCGTGGTATAGTAGGTCAAAACTTTCTTTCTAAGGAGAGGCCTATGTCCATCCAGACTATTAAAGGCTGTTGATGATGATGATGATGATGAATGGTATGAATACAAAAAATGTAAAATTAGTGACGTAGGAAATATTGTTAATAATATTAATAACGTTGTTACATCTCACATGTTTGATCTCAAACTTTGAAGAGTCTTTAATAATAAGTTATTCGTACATGATCAACAGCCTTAAATAGTCCACTACTGGACCTCTTCTTAGAAAAGGCGTTAGATACAATGAAAGTCTTATAATCAATACAGGTGTATAGGTGTCATACGTACCTTCGCATTTCCAATCTCCTATAGTAATTAGACTGTTGATCAACATACATGCATAATACCAAATACATATATAATATGTTATAGATAAGTTATACCGAAAAAAGAGCGAACTATCATCCTCGTCACACAATTGTTCGGTAAGAATCGAACCCACGATCTATAGCTCTCTCAACTTTTAGAAGACTTTTTAAAATCTTAGTGACATCTGAATCACAGAATAGACTTACGACAGATACTGTATTTTCAATCCTATTTTCCCATCGAGTATTTGTATCAGTCAAATCAAATAAATAAATGTTAGGTTTTTTTTAGTTTAGTTTAATAGGTTTTATCGAAAAGCAAGATAACCTACCGCATTATATTTTAGTGTTTACTTCCATTCTTAAATAAACATTGGATTCCACGGATGGCGTAGTGGTTTAAGCGGTCACCTCGCCATTTCCTACTATGCCAAGTGTTGTGGATTCCACCGAACAACTTTTAAAAATGTAACTAATAGTGCCAAAGATAATTTATGACGTCTAAATTATCACGTCTAAATAATAAAACAAAAATGGTTCTATAAACACGTACTTCATAAGTTACTCTACTATCATGGAATCATCCAGTGCACGTCGCTCAGTTATTACTTCTAAATTACATAACCAAACATCATTTCATCTTTATATCATTATCATTAATCCATAATTTTGTCAATGAAAATGAAAATAAAGAAAGTAGTTTGACTGAAGTTTCTATTGTTTTGTATAGAGCTCGAAATTAAGCTGGCCTGGTCCAATTTCTATAATTGGCTATTATTAAAACTACCACACGACCATGATAAGGTATCTTAAATCTTACGCGGTCTAGTTACTAAGTCTTAAGTCTAAGGAGATGCAAGTCATTTTGTAAAAGTAACTTTATCATGGTTTTTTTTTTATTGACTGTTACATTTACTTCAATGTTATTATCATAATCATAGAAACACAGACCTCATCAAATTTTAAATTACATACGTATATTGGAAATACATTCGACTGCACAGATGGAGTGGTGGTCTAAGCAGTCACCTAGCCGCTTTCTACTGCGTGTAGTATTGTGGATTCGATCCCCACATGGCACAACACTTGATAAATGGTTGTTTTAAATTACATAGGCATTTGTATATGCATTAGACTACACGGATGGTGTAGTAGTTTAAGCGGTCACCTTGCCGCTTCCTACTGCGTTAAGTGTTGAGGGTTCCATCCTCACATGGGGCCAATTTGTGTGATCGACAAATGGTTGTTCTGAGTCTGGGTGTTCTTTGTGTACGTTTCATGTATGTTTGTGAAAACCTGTGCAACATATGATATATTACTATTGCGAAAGTTGACTTTAAAAAGAACATACATTCTAGCCTCTTTCTCGTAGGGGTGAACAGAGACTTTTAAGAGCCCACAAATTGTCAATTTTAATTCTACTCACGGACTATGGATTTCAGTCCAATTTATGTAATAGAAGGTCAACTTATGTAGTAGCCTATTGCTGTTAATCAAATAATTTAGGAATTAAATGAAAGAAGATTTCCAAGAAAACTCTATCAATCAAATAAACATCTCTCTTCTTTATCATGTAACTCCAGATAACTAACTCAGTACAAAATATACGTTTCTTCTTTTGATATCCACCAGAGACATAGTAAGTTTAATAACTAATCATCATCATCATCAGCCTATCGCAGTCCACTGCTGGACATAGGCCTCTCCCATTGCACGCCACTTAGATCGATTTTGGGCTTCTCGCATTCAGCTCCTGCCAGGCATCTTGTGCAAATCGTCCCTCCACCTGGCCTGTGGGCGTCCTACACTACGTTTGCCGAGACTCGGTCTACACTCAAGAACTCGTTTTCCCCAACGGTTGTCGGTTCTGCGACTAATATGGCCAGCCCACTACCACTTCAGCTTGCTTAGGGATCGCATCAGGAATGAGTTGATCCTTCAGAGAACCAAGGTCACCGACATAACCGGATAATAACTAATTAAGAACCTTAATGTTTTTTTTTTATCCAGGAGTAGAATTATATTTAAAACCAAAGAATTCATAAATCATGAAGTATTGAGTTAAGTTTATAAAAAAATACAACTCAATTGAGTAAAGGAGATTCATTTCTAAGTCGCTTAAAATAGCTCTATATTTACGACAACAATTGTCAAAAAAAACTTTATCTTATCTATACTAATATTATAAAGCTGAAGAGTTTGTTTGTTTGTTTGTTTGTTTGTTTGTTTGAACGCGCTAATCTCAGGAACTACTGGTCCGATTTGAAAAATTCTTTCAGTGTTAGATAGCCCATTTATCGAGGAAGGCTATAGGCTATATATCATCACGCTAAGACTAATAGGACCGGAGCACCAATGAAGAATGTTTCAAAAACGAAGAAAATTTATTACTATTGAGAGACGCAGACGAAGTTGCGCGCGTCAGCTAGTACTTTATATAAGACGACTGTAATCTAAATAATTCTGATTCTGAATTGTTAATTGAAAAATAATAAAAAGAAATAAATTCAAAGTAACTTTACACTAGTCATCTACTCCAATGACTGCATGCTATAATAAACGAAAACGTCACGATAATGAAAACGTCAAACTAGAATCGACCATACCAGAATTGTGTAGAGTTCATTTTACAATGAAGATAGAAAAGCTCTTTGCAGTCAGCCTTCTATGAAAATATAATGGCTATAAGAGTACTAATCACACATCCATGTGCGACATATAAAAGGTGGTCGAAACAATCGCTTATCAAACCGTAGCAGCAGTCGTATCGAACAGACGTACGACCATGTATATCATAGTAATATTATTTATGACGAGTGCAGTGTTTGCACTGCCAAGTCCAGAAATTATTGAAAGTCCTAAAAATTCAGTGGAACCTACAATTGAAAATGGAGCAAGAGCGTTCAGCAAAGATTGTGTCAATGGAATATTCAGCCCTACCTGCTTGAAAATTGAAGCCATTTCAATGCTTGAGAAATTAAGTGGTAAAGAAGAACTTTATCTTCTGCCTGGTGTGAGCGTGGTCAAGGAACCCAGTAAAGAAAATGCTACTAAAGTTGAAGAATTTGCTGCTGAACTGGCAAGATCGTTTCCATCGAAACCTGATGAGAGACTGGATAAATATTTGCTGTACAGACTTGGAAATTACTTGGAAACTCATACAGTGAAACTGAAGTTACTTGATGAGAGTACTGCTGAGGAAGCCAGAGCTTTGGTTGGTGAAGCCAGGGCTAAAGGTGGTCTCGGTGGAAAGAAAGGGGGCATGGGAGGTTTGATAGCCGCTGGTTTGATGATGAAAGGTATGTGATTATATTTTTCAAAGTGATTACGTTCTCAAAAAAGAAAAAGAGTAATCCCTGTGTCTTGCAAAATAGTTATCAATGAGACTACCATTATTGGAGGACAGTTATTCGAAGATAGATATTTAGAAACAAATAGTCCTACATTGCGACTCGTCCCACATTATTTAATTCGAACTTCTTCCATTATACGAGACTCAATGTAGGTTTTTTGCAATCTATATAGTAACAGCTAGGTTAGATTGGAAACGATCAGTAAAAGTCTTTGCCAATATAATCTAGTTTATCCTTATTACAAATGTGTAATAGACCTGAAATTGTGTTTGACCTGAAAGTGAATTGACCAGTATACTACCGACGTGAACTCACTCCTAACAGAAGCTATTTAGTTTAGCGGGAGGGGTTAACGGGAATGCCAGTAATTTCGGTTGCTAGTAAGCCTTTAAAAAGAAAAAGATATTTTTTTTTAGTGAAGTTCTGAATAATATAGCGATAGATATCATATTGATAGATTTTATAATTATTTTCCCAATACAATATAGTAATTTGTGGGCCTATGCCGTGATTAGTGATACTACTGCTAAATCAGAGACCATGGGTTCTATAGTCAACCAGAATAAATAATTACGGGATGAGGACTTCTTTTGTTTGCACGTGTCATTTATCAATAACATAATTTATTTAGTAATATACAAGTATAGAAATGTTTATAAAAAGTGAGGTTAGCGTACTACAGGATCTGCCTATTTTGGGACGGAACGACCCTGTGTGGCCTCTCGTTGAACGAATAAATATGAATAAAAAAAAAATTATTAACATAGTAGGGCCAAAACCTCCTTTCCAAGAAGAAGCTTATGTCCAGCAGTGGACTATTAAAGGCATTTGATGTGATAATGATTAACATAGTACTGGCGAAATTTGCCTAATATTAGGGTATCATCAACATCCTTTAACAGCCCACTGCTGGACAAAGGCCTCTCCTAAGAAAGGAGGTTTAATATTAGGGTATAAAAACGTTTAATGGGTGTTAAAGTAGTAGTTGAAATACCTTTATAGGATGTTAAATATTTTTACTCTCATATTTAATTAATACTTAAATAAACTTAATCAATTTTTATAACAACTTTCAAAGTTTTCTAAAACTTACTCGTATGAGCACAATCATTTGTTCTATGTTTAGGCGTAATTTTATATATAACATGCATGTTTTCAGAAACATACAAATAATGACTGCCTTGGTAGTGCAGTGGTAGTGTATGCGACTGTGCTGATGTCTCGGGTTCGATTCCCGAGTCGTACCAAATGTTTGCATGATCTGCAAAAAAATATTCCGGGTTTTTGGTGTATTCTATATATAAATTGTATGTATTTACAAAAAAAAAGTATATAAGTATTCTATCAGTAACTCTAGCTGTGCTTAGTTTGAACCTAGATATTATTATTATAAAAAATATTATTATTAGATATTTAGAAGTATAAGTGTTCGGTTGACAACATTGAGTTTGACGTCCGGATGGCGTGGTGGTTTGTGTAACGGACTGCTATTCCAAAGGTCGCGGGTTCGATTCCCGCTCAAGTCAAACGTTTGTGTGCATGAACATTTAATGTTTGATTTGGTCTGGGTGTTTCTATGTATAATATGTATGTATTTACAAAAAAAAAGTATATATGTATTTATATCAGTTGTCTAGTATCCATAGCACAAGCTCTGCTTAGTTTGGGACTAGATGGCGTTGTGTTAATGTGGTAGATTATTATTATTATTATAGTTTGCCCCCACTTACATAAAATAGACTAAAACAATAATCCTCTATCTACCGCTTCAGTTATAAAGACGTGTATGTACATATATATGTGTATATTTAATATTACATTCTGTACTTTGCACATTTTTGTAAGAGTCTATGCTCAGAAGGTACTACTTATCACTGCCATTAGTACATAGCAGTCTATATACCATCGTCTATAACTCCACACATCACATCAACAGCCTTTACTAGTCCACTGCTGGACATGGGCCTCTCCTTAAAAAGGAGGTTTTGGTCTACTATACCCCGCTGGCCAGACGGCTTGGTATAGGGTTTGTGTCAAGTTTTCCTTCTCTCTGCAGTGCTGTTGTCCTGCTTTGCTCCCTTAGTTGGCTCGTACGACACCCACGTGATGAATAATTTACACACACAGATACTCCACACCACATTCAAAATATTACCATAATAAAAGTACACAGAGAGCTAATATTTTTGATACGAATGTCTCTAAAAATATAAAATTTAATTATTCATATTCTTAATTTTCAATTAACATAGATTTTTAAAATACCAGTCTTGATTTTACGCACTTGTGCCTCTCAAATCGTAGGTTACCATTATGGACACTTACTATGAAAAGTCATCAAATTTAATACATAGTGTCTCAGAACACAAAAAAGCTTAGTATAGTGAAGTTAATTTTAAACTCACACTTAAATATCCTTAGTTAATAAAAAAAAATGAAATCGTCTCTTGTATATGCTTTAAAGTCATAGATCAACACACATACAAATACACAATCTCTGTTTTGTCAAATATTTAGCAAACTTAAACGTATTGAAAATCTCTTATATGCCTGTGCCGATCTACAACCGCCCATTTCCAAGGGGTTGAGCCTCATGACAACAAAGGGCAAACAAACTCTTTAGTAGGCTTAGTGAAGTTTAAATGATTTTGCTCTAATATACGTCTCCAAACCAATCCAAACTCATTCTCACTTTCATTGGACGGCTCACGAAGGTATGGGCATTCGGGGTACGACAGGAGTATGAAATCTTAAGTATTTTTTTCATTCAGGCATTTAATGGAAAACGTAATTTCTGTTTTGGATATGTTATTTATATTTTTAGGTCACCACGCCGCTTCCTACTACGTGGAGTGTTGTGGGTTCAAACCCCACATGGGACGACACTTTGTGTGATCCACAAATTGTTGTTCTGAGTCTGGATGTTATTTGGGTCCGTTTCATGTATGTTTGTAAAGCCCCCCGCGACAGAGGATATATTCCTAATGCAGTTGTCTTATTAAAAACCAAAAAGAATAAATTGTTCAGTAAGCAAACTCTGCAGGATAACAGCACTGCAAAGAAAAGGAAAACTTGATACAAATCATATACCGACTCTTCTGGCCAGTGTTATAGTAGGCCAAAACCTCATTTCTAAGTACAGGCATGTCCAGCAGTGGATTATTAAGAAGGCTGATGATAATGATCACAGAAAACTTACAAGTATTTATAAACAGACAGAAAGCAAATACTCGTAACTTTTATCAACAATCAATCAGATAATAAAAACACGAAAGCGTCACCAAATGTATTTTTTCTTCAAGCTAAAATTGTGTTACTCTGACAAACAGAGCATGTCGCCTTAGGAAAACACTGTTTGTCATTTAAAACATACTAATTTTTAACTTTTACTTGATGTACATCGGATGGGAAAACATAACTGATGTTAAACCATACGTGCATATGAAACTGTGGTACAATTACTCCATACGAAGATTAAATAGTTTATTTTACTTATTCAAAGCTTACGTTCAGTGAAGTTTTAAGGATTTTGTTTCTAATGTACTACTTTCTTACACACGCTACAGACTACACGGATGGCGTAGTGGTTTAAGCGGTCGCCACGCCGCTTTCTACTACGCCGAGTGTAGTAGGTTCAAACCCCACATGGGACGACACTTTGTGTGATCTAAAAATTGTTATTCTGAGTCTGGGTGTTCTTTGTGTCCGTTTCATGTATGTTTGTAAAGTCCCGGATATATTTCTAATGCGGGAATTGTCTTATATTAAAAAAAAAAGAAAAAACTAATTTGTTACCCGAGAACTCGGTCATTCATGAACGTTCGGTCTAATAATGGGCAATTTATTAAATGAATACCGACTTCAATGCCCCTACAACATGAAACAGGCGCTTTGAAGTCGGTGCTTTTTTTTTGTTAGGTAAAAGTTAATTTGCATTTACGTACATTTCTGGACATAGTTTAGTTCAGTTAGTGATATGATGTTTATAACAATAATATTCTACCACATTCACACAAAGCCATCTAGTTCCAAAATAAGCAGAGCTTGTACTATGGGTACTAGATAACTGATATAAATACATATATACTTTTTTTGTAAATACATACACACATGAAAACATCCACAACAAACCAAACATTAAATGTTCATGCACACAAATGTTTGACTTGAGCGGAAATCGAACACGCGACCATTGGAATAGCAGTCCGTTACACATGCGTTGCTTTAAAACCCTTCAGACTCTGTGTAGAAATTGCCTTTCTATTAAATATTTATAGTTTTACAAAAATTAAAAAAAAAACTGGTTATAAAACACTGCATTTTTAGCTAGAAGTTAGGTATGTTTAAATTATTAAAATTATTGATGATTATCGTGCCACACACACTCAAACGGATAGGCGACAAATTAAAATTAATCACATAAAAAGGTTTTATTAACACGTGATAACTTTTTAATGTAATCTTTACATAAAAAAAAGAAAAAAAAAGTATTACTCAGGTTACCTTTGGTTATAATCATATGAAAATCTAATTTTCTTTCCCAGGTACCATGATGTCAATTGCTCTTGGAGCCCTGGCGCTTCTCGCAGGCAAAGCTTTGGTCACGGCCATGATGTCACTGCTTCTCTCTGCTATCATCGGTATCAAGTCTCTCTCCGGTGGTCAAAAGTCTACGACATATGAAATCGTCTCCAAACCAATCTACTCTCATTCTCACTCTCATTCGACGGCCCATGAAGATGCTGGAGGGTATGGACATTCAGGGTATGGCAGGAGTATGAACGTTAGGAGGCGTTGAAATCTTTAATATTTTCTTTTATCCACGCATTTAATGGAAAACGTTATTTTTCTTTTGAATATTTAATTTTATTTTGAGTATTTAATTTACAACTTAACAGCTCATTTCTTTTATTTTTGTTACTTATTTTTTCTTTTTTATATTTTGTTGTTGTTTTTATTTTTGTTATATCTTTTTATGTTCTTGTTATTTTATGTATGGTTTTCTTTTTCTCTTTTAAATATTTTGGTTTAAGCGTTTTCAAAAAATCTAAATAAGGATGAAGGAACAAATTTTTTGTACTTTGTGTAAATAGACGTCATAAACAGTATCAATTACCAAAGTCTGTGTATGACGTAGACAAAACAAAAACTCATTATTTATTGAAATAATTTATTTTTAGATTAAGCTCACAATTTCCTGCTCGTGATTATTAGTTATATATCCTACTGTATAATTGTTAAACACTGTACTATATAATATTATGTAAAATACTGTATAATATTAATGTTATATCGTAAACTATTTATATTTTATAAAAATATCTATATCTATAGTGTTATAAATATTTGTGTGATAGAAGTATTTATTCAAATGAATATTGTTTTTTTTTTTAATTGTTAATTATATTATAATGAAATATGTAAATATTGTATTGTAATAGTGATTTTGTGGAAATGTATTCTTACAATCATTATAATTGTATGTAATATGTATAATATTTATGTTTAAATTATTTATGTATACAAAAACAGCTTTAAATTAATTTGTATTGTAATTAATTGTATGTAATATTTCTAAAATGCTTAAATTTATTTTATTTTATTATATCTATCCTATTTGAGCACAAGAATAAAATGTTGATAATTATTAAAAACCTTGGTTTCATTTTCAATAATTTAAGCATCCGTATATTATTGATAGGATTGAAGTAATAAAAATAGTTATTTGATAAAATTTGATTTTATTTTATATCAACGCTGCGTTTGGAGAGTAGACTGCTAATGAACGCTTTCATAATGGAAACTTCGATTAGAAGAATGAATCACGTGGAAGACACACGTGAATAACACTGAATTGAAGGAGATGGTGGAAGCCGATCCAAGTTAAACTACCAAGGAATTAGCGGCATGGTTTAACATTACCCTACCTAAAATATTGACACATTTGTATCAAATCAATAAGATGATGATGATGTATGGATATGAAAAATGGGTGCCTCATGATTTGACCGATCTGCAAAAAGAAATGAGTATTGAAACTTGTGTCGCCTTGTTGAATCGGTGCAGAAATGAAGGAATATTGGATCCAATATTCCTCTGCACGGATGGCGTAGTGGTTTAAGCGGTCGCCACGCCGCTTCCTACTACGCCGAGTGTTGTGGGTTCAAACCCCACATGGGACGACACTTTGTGTGATCCAAAAATTGTTGTTCTGAGTCTGGGTGTTCTTTGTGTCCGTTTCATGTATGTTTGTAAAGTCCCCCGCGACACAGGATTTATTCCTAATGCGGGCGTTGTCTTTTTTAAAAAAGAAAAAAAAAAAAAAAATGTGACATGTGACGAAAAGTGGATTATTTACAATAACCGTAACTTAAAAGTGCAATGGCTGGCCCCAAGTCAAACGCCGCAACAGTGCCTTAAAGTAAAGCTTACCAATAAAAAGGTAATGGTGACTGTTTGGTGGTCTCTTCATGGTGTTATTCACTATAGCTTTCTCGGGTCTGGTCAGGCAATAACAGCAGATGTTTATTGTACCGAACTTCGAACAATGATAGCGAAACTGACCCACCACCACACCACCACCACCATACACCATTATTGCTCCATGATAGTGCAAGACCTTACACTGCGCGAGAAACCGTTGTAACTCTACAGGAGCTGCAGTTAGAAATCATTCGTCATTCTCCGTACTCGCCAGATCTTGCTCCAACGAACTACCATTTTTTTCGTGATTTGGACAATTTTTAAAACGCTTTCACACAGTTCGTTCGTTTTGTCGAATCTAAATCCCCAGTATTCTAAAGGCATAAATGAACTCCTAACTGATAATGAGGATAAATATTTTGAATCAATAAATATGTTAAATCTTAGAAAAAAACGAGTTTCAATTTTTCAGTACAAATCGGCAATTTAATACTCTAACCCCTAATATTTATCACCTTTTTGTATAAGTATGCTTAAAAAAAACAAACCAAAGGAAGAATGCTTAACAAATTTTCTCACATTTTAAAAACCTAACGGTTTCACCACCAACCTGCTATAAATATATTAAGTTATACATGGACAAATATAATTATATTTCTATATGAGAGAAATTCGTTGTCTCACTCCTCAGCCCAGCTTGCCCCAAGCATACTCGATGGGGTACGGTCCGGGCTGCTTGCTACCATCTCCATACAGTGAATGTTCAGTTATTGAAGGGTCATGAAGTCATTTACCCGAGACATTGCTCTCGAATGTATTTACATCGTACGAGAATTCATCATTTAACTATTCTTAGAGAGACTAATAGACATATAACAGTTTTGTATTATTACCATTAAATAATCTTATTGATAATTACAAGTCTCTGCATATAAGGTACTCTAAGGAGAACCGTCGACTTAAAATGAGGATAAGTTTCAGCCTAGGTAGGGATAGGCATAACACATAAATATTATACACTTAGATGTACATACACGTGTCAGCACATACACCATACATATACGCACACATATACACATACAACACATGAATACATATACATACACACATACAAATACTCACGCATAAGTACTCATACACAATAAAATGCTGAAACAAAAAGATGTTAATCATCATGTGATCACGTGATCACACTGCTGCACATGGGCCATGCTCAAGGTTTGCCATGGTTGTAGTTTCTGGAGTTTCTGCGTTTTTTTTGTTATGTTTTTTCCTTTGCGAGAATTGAATCCATAGTATTATAATGTTTAGATGGGTTTTAAAAAAAAAACTTTGGAATTTTAGATGGTGCATAATCACACTGCGATGAGTGTGTATTACACTTAAAGTACTCACTATTTAGGGGAAGGTAACCTTACGCTGCCACTCTTACATTTTTATGACATTGAGCAAATAATAATATAATAATAATTTTGTACCAACATTCACACAACGCCATTTAGTCCCAAACTAAGCAGAGCTTGTACTATGGGTACTAGACAACTGATATAAATACATATATACTTTTTTTTTACACTTACTTTTTAAATACATACTTATTGTACATAGAAACACCCAGACCAAATCAAACATTAAATGTTCATGCACACAAATGTTTGACTTGAGCGGGAATCGAACCCGCGACCTTTGGAATAGCAGTCTATTATACAAACCACTAAGCCATTTGGTCGTCAAAACAGACAGACAGTTAAGCTGATAGCAAGTGAGAACCGCTTTTCATGTACACCTCTAACTCAAAAGTCACAACGGCGTTGCCGCCCTCTGACTTTGAATTAAGAAGACATCAGGGAGGGGTGTTCCTCCGGTAATTTGACTCTTTCGGTAAAACTCAACAACAAATAAAACATTATAAGTAAGAATTTAACATAATTTACACATACAATATAAATATTGACTGCACGGATGGCGTAGTGGTTTAAGCGGTCGCCACGCCGCTGCGCTGGGTGTTGTGGGTTGGATTCCCACATAGATCACCACCTTTTGTAATCCACAAATTGTTGTTCTGAGTCTGGGTGTTCTTTGCGTCCGTTTTATGTATGTTGGACACGACACAGGAATATGTATTCCAAATACGTGAGTTGTCTTTTAAAAAAAAGCACTCATCAGATATTTTACCCCTTCTAAAAACCTTTCCTAAGTGGGTACACCATAAAAAGCATTAGTATCCAAAATTTCAAATTAGTGACCCGAGCGGTTTAGGCTCTTCGTTAATAAATAAGTCAGTAAGTCAGAGCAAGTATATTTATATTTACATAGATGACTATATAAACACACATTTATACATAGATGACATAACAACACTGCAAAGAGAAGGAAAACTTGACACAAACCCTTTTTTTTTTTTTTAACTTGTGGAAATCCCCTCGGACCGTCACCCCTCCGGGGTTTGCGGCGGGGTGGTGTGTCGGACTCGGACCGACTAAAACCACACGGTGTGCCACTCTGCGCCTGTAACAGGAGGGATCCGGGAACAGCTGTTGTTAAGACATCCGGACCCCTCCTAGCGCCAGCCCGCTCCTGGTGCGGGCTCCGTCTCAATATATTTTCCTCTCTTTAGGCGACGTCCGGCACACGCGGACGCCGCCCCCTCGCGGCTGGCCAAACTAATGCGGGTGGAGGGGAAACCCACCCCGTCCACCCGCGGCCACACTCAGGGCGGCATGAGGCGGTGATAGGCGGGCCTCAGCCGCCCGGTTCGCCGGCGGCGGATCGGGTCCGAGTGGAGGTCGTCCTCCCGGGCCCTCTCCGCCGCCTCCTTCCGCGAGATTACTACCTCGCAGAAGGTTGCGACCGCGGTAAAACAACTGTCGCTACCGGACATGGAGCGTACTACGGCCGGTAGCGAGAGATCCACTCCGATGACTGCAGTGAGGGCCCGGCGCTGCGCCGCCCATGCGGGGCAGACCGCCAGCGTGTGTTGGGCCGAGTCCTCACTGCAGTCGCAGTGGTGGCAGGCGGGACTCAGTTCCCTCCTAGCGACCGTGTGCAGGTACTTTCCGAAGCAACCGTGCCCGGAAAGCACCTGCGTCAGCCGGAAGGAAAGGGTCCCGTGCTGCCGCCCTGCCCACTCGGCGATGACCGGCTGGAGAGCCTCCACGGCGGCGAAGCCAGCGCGTGGAGTCTCCAGCCGGAACGACCAACGAGCCATCGTGGCTCGGCGAGCGGCTTCGCGCCACTCGCGCACATCCTCGGGCGGAGGGCGAAATCCGCTCTCCGCCCGGGAGTCAGCCACTCGCCGATAAACTTCGGCGAGCACTTCCGCCTCCAAATCCCACGGGGGAGTTCCGGCCAACGCGCATGCCACCTCCGTAGAAACGGTGCGGTAACCGCGTATGGCTCTGACCGCCATTACCCTCTGAGGGCGCCAGAGGCGTACCCTATTCTGGGCGGTCAGAGCCGCCGCCCACACCGGTGCACCGTACAGCGCCATTGACCGGACAACCCCCGTGTACAGCCGTCTTGTCGCGACGCTGGGTCCACCCATATTGGGCAAAAGCCGCCCTAGGGCAGACGCAGCGCCGACCAGCTTTGGAGCAAGCTGTCGGAAGTGCTCGTCGAAGAGCCACCTCCCGTCGAGGATCAGGCCCAGATATTTCATCTGGGCCCGAACCGGTACGAGGACCGAGTTGACCACGATTGAGGCGCCAGGGGGTGGACCACGACGGGGCCCATGAAATAACAGGGCCTCCGTCATATCTAGGGCCACCCGTAAGCCCAGCGCCTCAATGCGCCCGACCACCAGGGAGACTCCCCCTGTGGCCAGGCGCGCCGCCTCTTGGAAGTTTGCCCCCCGGGCTGTCACCAGGGTATCGTCTGCGTAACAGATTACACCCAGCCCGGGGGGGAAATCCCTGGTCCCTGGTCGGAGCCTGAGGAGACAGCCACGAGTGAATTATGGCTGCCTCCTCTAGTAGGTCCCGGTTCAGTCTGGCATACAAACCCTATACCAACCCGTCTGGCCAGCGTGGTATAGTAAGACAAAACCTCCTTTCTAAGGAGAGGCCTATGTCCATGTTAAAGGCTGTTGATGATGATGATGATATGACTATGGTGAAAACAAATACCATAAAAAGTGCACAGTACTTAAAGAAAATAAAACAAAGGCATTCGCTTTACTTTCATTCGCTGTTGACTCTTATAGCATTTTGTGTTATTACTTTTTAATAACTGTAGTGAAAGTCAATAGTATCAAAATTAATTAGGCCTTAAATACTAGTATATAGTGTGTCTTTTAGTAATTTAACACTGGGTCATATCTGATTGACGACCGAATGGCGTAGCGGTTTGTGTAACGGACTGCTATTTCAAAGGTCGCGGGTTCAATTCCCGCTCAAGTCAAGCATTTGTGTGCATGAACATTTAATGTTTGATTTGGTCTGGGTGTTTCTATGTATAATATGTATGTATTTACAAAAAAAAAGTATATATGTATTTATATCAGTTGTCTAGTACCCATAGTACAAGCTCTGCTTAGTTTGGGACTAGATGGCGTTGTGTGATTATGGTAGAATATTATTATTATTATATTATATTATTATATTATTAATATTTGACATTAAAAGTAACTAAACTGTACAGTTCTATTTCGTACCCTTTCCAATCATAAAAACGGCTAAGTGTGAGTCAGATCATGTGCAATATCCATAGTTTTTTGCTACCTGTTTCACACAAGTTACAGCTTTTTACAGCTACCCTATACCAAGCCATCTGGCCAGCGTGGTATAGTAGGCCAAAACCACCTTTCTAAGGAGAGGCCTATGTCCAGCATTAGTAGAGCAGCATTATTAGCAAAGGCTGTTGATGATAATGATGATAGCTTGTACAGCTTTTCTATGGATTTCTATGGATTGGTACTTTACTCGATTTTTTTCAATTTTTCATATAGATATATCTAAAAATGTTATGTTGGTTTGTGTACGCCACACAATCTCATAAAAATCTGCACCAATTTAGCTCAAATTTTGACATGATAACTATGCAACAAGCTTCAAAGATTGTTTTTACTTATTTTTCGAGTCAGTTCTATATATTTATGTATGTTACGAGCCTATTATTCTTACACTAATAAACGCTTTTTTTTTCTTTGATCCCATTCCAAATACTACAATTTTAGTTTTTTCTGATTGGCTTTTATTTTTTTTTTTATTTTAAAAAGACAACTCCGCATTAGGAATAAATATATCCTGTGTCGCGGGGGACTTTACAAACATACATGAAACGGACACAAAGAACATCCAGACTTAGAACAACAATTTGTGGATCACACAAAGTGTCGTCCCATGTGGGGTTTGAACCCACAACACTCGGCGTAGTAGGTGCCGTGCAGTCAAAATCCGTGCAGTTTTAAGGAGAGAGTTTATGTGTAACAAAAATTGGAACTTTAAAGTTTAATATTTCAGGACCAGACCACTAGAACTGTTACATTTATGTAAGATCTATCCGATAAAACCTATTTTTATATTTTACAACTAATTAAACATCATTATCTCAGTCAAAAGACGTCCACTGCTGGACATAGGCCTCCCTCGAGGTTCGCCATAACAACCGGCCCTGTGCAGCCCGCATCCAAATCCAACTGCTTCCCATAAACACACACATATTCATTCAAAATTACACTAAGTTACCACACAAACGTACTAACGGACAGACAAGGGGACATAATAGACTATAAAGAACTTTCTTAGTACTACAGAACCCTAAAAAATGGGGAGCAAAGAAAGTAACAGATCTTTCTTGAGATCATTGATAACAATCTCAGCTGCATGGATGGCAGAATGATTTAAGTACTGTTGATACATAAGGTACGTGTATTGTTGTAGTTTTGTAGTCAAATTTATCAAAATTCTTGTAAAAACGGTCAATTAACTAAGAAGAACTTATCGTGATGACTTAAAAACTATGCTAATATCAACCGATTAATTTGAAATCGATCTGACCATACCAGAATTGATTCAGTTACTCGTGAATCGAATGAAATCAATGAATCGAAATGTCTAATTACAAACTACGTTCCTTTTACTTCATACATGCATAATTTTTAACATATAATGTACTGTAATTTTAAGCAATTTAAAAAAAATTAGTTAAACTCCCCTATTTATAACGTGTGTGTCGTAATAGCTGACTAAGGGAACAAACTGCACAGGACAACAGCACTGCAAAAAGAAGGAAAACTTGAAACAAATTGTTGTGTGATTCACAAATTGTTGTTCTGAGTCTGGGTGTTCATTGTGTCCGTTTCATGTGTTTGTAAAATCCCCCGCGACAAAGGAGGAGGGGGAGTGAGGGAGTTGTCTTTTTAAAGAGTTGTCTTTTTATTAAAAAATAAAATAAAAAAGCATGGCCGTGAGTTTTTTTGCCCTTTCTTCGCATAAGGCTCAACCCCTTGGAAACGTAGATCGGCACAGGCAAATAATGGGTTTTCGATAGGTATACATTTATTTGATTAAATATTTGACAAATGATGATGATAATGAAAAAAAAAAATGAAATAAAGATATTTTGACTGACTTTTAATTTGAATGAAAATACCTATTTAACAGTACTTTATAAACACAGATTGAGATCCAACAGGATAACATTAATTAACCTATAACGGCCTTATACCGCCGTGTTTCTCTACAAATAAACATTTTGTTTTTCACTCCACATATGAGTTATCAAAGCCGAAACAATACAACCTATTCTTTCTCACCCATGACTGAACACTAAAATTTTAATCATTTCTCGGTAAAGATTACCGATTGGAAACTAAAAATCACTTTCAACTTTTCCATTACAATCATCTTTTTACTTACAGAACGAAAGTTGATCACAATACGCTCCAAAACACTTTGTTCTTTTTAACATTTTTCTTATGTTTTTTGTGACATTGTACAGTATAAAATAAATTGCGATCAGTTTGAAGCCATCAGTCTGGTGTTACGCTCAATGGAAATGTACCAGTAGTTGTAAGAGTGTTGTGATTAAAATGGTGCACAAAAGTGTTAACGTTGCCCTTTTCGTGTTGTGTGTTTGTGGGTCTAAAGGATCCATAGAAGGGTCCGATCCAAACGTTATCGTTGATGTGGTAAAAAATGTGTCGAAAACAGAAAGGATTGGGAGAACCTTACATAAAGAGTGCAACAGTTTATTGAATTCCAAATGTCTGAAAATTCATGTGCTATCGTTTTTAGAAGATTTAAGCTCTCGTGATGAACTCCACCTTTTGCCAGGGTTGAGTATTGTGAAGGAGAATGGAACATCAAATACACCGAACCCTGATGAAATGGCAGCGGAACTGTCGCGTCAGTTTCCTGGGAAACCAGAAGAGAAATTGAACCGTTTTCTTCTATATCGACTCCAGGATTATTTGGACGGACACTCTTTAAAGTATAAGCTGTTAGATCCTCAGACTACCAAAGAGGCTCTTGACGTAGCTAAGGGAAATGATGAGTCAACGGGAAGAAAGAAGGGCGGTGGTGGACTTGGAGGAGGCAAGGGGGGTGGTGGTGGTCTGATAGCTGCTGCGATGATGATGAAAGGTAATACGTTCTTAAAAACTCATTGAGAATTTAATCATACGAAAAAATTTTTTAACATCAAAGCGATTCTAAAATACTTTAATATTCCAAGCGATTATAGTTTTTAAATTAAATTAAGAATTAGTAAATTATTTTAATAAATAAACGTACTAATTTCCAGATCTAAAAATTGAATATTTATTTCTTAAAATGAATCATTTAATTCAATGAAAACAAACTAATATAAAATTATTTTAACTTTTACAACAATTTTTTCATTCAATTTTAATGTTTGATTTATCTTTTATATAACTTAAATAAAGTCATATCACAAATAGAAAATGAAAAAAAAAAACGAAATAGGAGACCTGTTTAAAAATGGAGCTTCTGAAATTAACATTAATCATGTTACAAAACTCATTCAAGTCACTACAACATTTAAATCCATTAATATTTTTACAGGTGCTTTAGCCGCAGCGGCACTTGGAGCCCTCGCACTTCTGGCAGGCAAAGCTCTCATGACAGCCCTCATGTCTCTTCTCCTCTCTGCTCTCGTTGGTCTGAAGGGCCATGGTGAACATAAATCTACAACCTACGAGATCATCACTAAACCAGAAGTATCCCATCACCACTCCCACAGCCACGAAGAACACCATGAGCACGACCACGGTCATCACGGAGGTTACAGAAGGGCTTACGACTACAACACTTATATGCCCTATGAAGCTACCAGTAGCACTTAAATGAAAATTAACTGAACATAGTGATAATGTATATTAAAATCCGAACATAGTGTACTAAAAACATAGTTGATTATAACCCACCTAGAGAACGAATAAATTACTAAAAATGTACACAGCAAAACTTCGGAGTATTGTTGATCTATTCTACTATGATTGGTGTCTTATTATAATTGTTTTTGATTGTAATTATCATTATATTGCCAAATATAATCATATATAATCACTATTATATAAAAGCACTAGGTTAAAATTAGTAAACATAAATGATAATTTATTCTAATTTATTAAAATGGGTGTAATGTAACAACGAGATTGTAAATTAGGTAATTTATTTATATTAGCGATAAATATGTCTATTTTATTTATTTATACATTATTGAAAAATATGCGAGGCTTATTTGTAATTTCTATTTCTTGCTTCTAGTTTATTTATGAGAAATTTATTTATTTATTTTCATTTATTTATTTATATTTATATATTAATTTGATAGCGCTGTGCAATATTTCTAAGGATATAATTATTGTTATTTTCTTTATATCTTACTCCCACCGTTATCATTTTTGGTTAATAATCATTTTTTAAATATTTTCTACATATTATTATGATTTTATTACTTACATTTTTTTAACTTATATTGTATATAAGTATCTCATTTATTATATATTATAATTCTACTTTTAAATTTTCTTTAAGCGGTATATATAACTGTGATATTTTCTATGTACGCTTCTTGCTTTGTTTTATTTTTAAACCAAAAATAGATTTACTAAGGTTTATCAGTATTTATTATTTAATTTTAATTTACATACATATTTATATACCTTGTACAGGAACTTCAAACATTGCGTCTTTTTTGTTATTTATAATAATAATAACATAACTATGTTAAAAGTATTTACAAATAAAAAAATATTCGTATTTATAACTTTGTTTTATAGTACCTATATAAAAATTTATTTTTTCTCTGTAATTTAAATGAAAACAAAATGTATACATGGCTTTTATCATTCACTTCTAGTCGATATAAAAGACGCGTAATAATTTACGCTAATATTATAAAGCTGAAGAGCTTGTTTGTTTGTTTGAACGCGCTAATCTCAGGAACTACTGGTCCGATTTGAAAAATTATTTCAGTGTTAGATAGCCCATTTATCGAGGAAGGCTATAGGCTATATATCATCATGCTAAAACCAATAGGAGCAGAGCACCAATGAAGAATGTTTCAAAAACGGAGAAAATTAATTACTATTGAGAGACGCAGACGAAGTTGCGTTGCGTTTACACATCGTTTCAAAATTGGTGTTCAATCGGTGCAGGACTTTTTGAAGTTTTGAAGCGTACACAAACCAACTTAACTTTTATATAAATATATTATTCTCTTATTGTGTGTACTTTTGTTTTACGACGTCCAAGAACTGAATGCAGAAGGATTTTAAGGTTTCATAGGAAGATTATTCACGTAGCAAAATTGATTGTTTAGTATTTATTTTAAAAAGATGTCCATAAAGAACCATAAAGACGTGCCAACGAGAACCCAGTAGCAGTTACATTTTATCATGTCACGTCAACAATCTACCTCTCAGTGGTGTCCACCCACAGCAAAACTTACAGCAAATGACACGTGGTTCGATGCCATCGAATTGGACTCTATCGAACCTATTTTCATTTCACTTCTTATATGCAATCACTTTGGAATTTTTCATAATCGTAGATTAGTATTCAACATTCAACAACTATCAGTAGCGAGACTTCTTTTCCCAGAAACCATACAAACTTTTTCTTTTCTTCTTATGAAAAGACAACTCCCACACTAGGTATATATCCTGTGTTTAACATACATGAAACGGACACAAATAACACCCAGACTTAGAACGACAATTTGTGGATCACACAGAGTGTCGTCCCATGGCGGCGTGGCGAACACTTAAACCACTACGCCATTTTGAAAGTCATAAGTCGAAATCGCAAGCAAGCAAGTTCGTCTGTTTGTATTTCTATCAGTTTATATTTAAAACTTATTATTTATAGACAGAACAGTTAAATATACCTAGTATGGCAGTTCCGTTTCTACTTTAGCATCAGAGTTCAGCAAAACATAATTTGCAAGCAAATATAAATCTAATAGCAATAACAATAAATACTTAAAAGCAAACAGCGGAGTTACAGGGTCTTTTCACTTATCTATAAACCACAAAGTTATTTAAATAAATGGTTTGCAGACAAAATGATATGTTTTCACGAGAAGACGATGACAGATGACCTTGTGTCCCATAAACATGAAATAAATATTATGAGCTTTACCTCAGATTTCCATTTGATCATCAACCATGGCACTTCATAGAGTTATAATACTATTTACAATACTCGTATCAGTTAATACTAAAGTACTCAAAAAAGACTATGAAGTAAAAGAAAGCATAGATGACGGCGTTAAAAATATAGATGATGTTTTTAATGGTGTCTATACTGAATGTTTTACAAAATTATCTTATACGTGTATCCAAAAAAAGACCTTAACATATTTGAAACAATTAAACAATTTGAGTGAGGTACCCGTTGTTGGGGATTATGTGAAATTCGGTGAGTTTCTTTCTTAAAATTTAACTTTAAGTATGTCACTACAAAGAGATTTTGAACGATTAATTTTTGTTGTGAAAATGAACATTTCTAAAGTATTGTGAGGAAATGTATCTCATCCATTATTTCCTTCACCAAGTCAATTTATTTTGTCCGTCCGCTCGGATAGCACAGTTTATTCTGAAGGTGTTGCCGTTGTATAAATGTAAGGCGTTAATATTGTTCTTGACAAATGGAAAGACAAATACTAAATTGGTTTTCTTTGTAGTAAGGCTTAATACAACCAAATTAGACAAAAACAATGAAACAGAAGAACGAACTGAAGAAAAGGATTCAGAAGAGTTGACACACATGATCGACAAGGCTATTGATAGTTTTTTTGATAACCACGTTGTAAAATTTAATGCATTGGGAAGAGATTTTGCAATTCCAAAGAATGGTAAGTATTTACGCTTATTTTATTTGTTTAGTAGTCAAGCTAAGACGAGGGTGGTCTGAAAAGTCCAACCTCTACACGAAGATGGCAGCGCTCGTGAATAAAAGCTAGTGAATTTCATTGTTCATCTGTTGACAGTTACTCGCCAAAGTTTCAGCCATTTTGGTGCCCAGTTGTTATGTAACAGTCGTTTGAGTGAGTTGATTTGTGTTTTTATGAAAATGGACAAAATCGTGTTTCGAGCTGTCATTAAATATTTGTGTATGGGTATATGCACACCATTATTTACCACAGTAATGAACAAATAATGTTTTATGATATAGGGGCACTAATCTGCAACCGTGATATATAGATGGTCACATTTTATGATTCGCTGAATATTCAGAGGTAATGTCTGTAATATTAGCGGTCACAAGTTTCTTATTATAGCTCTCTGGCAAACTAAGATTTGTAAATTCAATCAATCTCTAACCACAATCCTCGCTTCGAATGGGAACAACCAATACTACTAAACAATTTTGTTTATGTGGTTTAAATATTAACGTAATTATGTTACAGTGGAAGAATTTGTTGGTAGAAAAAAACGAAAAGGTGGCGGCGGAGGTGGTGACATGCTGGGAGGACACGACAGTGGCCATTTTGGTCATAAAAAGATGATGATGATGGCTATGATGTGTATGAAGATGAAAATGATGATGGTAGGTTATGATTTACTAAACCTACTAGACTTATAAACAAGCTTTTTACTAGTCTAATAAACTTCAAAAATTTCCATAGGTACTTAGAAATATTTGCAATAGGTCTCGAGAATATAATTTATACTGAAAAAAGTACTTTTCAAAATCATGAATCAATTAGCTAATATAATTTCAGATGCTTCCAGCAATGATGGGAATGATGGGCATGATGTCTTTTAAAGGGATGATGTTCAGTATGATGTCATTCATGATATCTAAGGTAACATACATATTATGTAAAACATTGTCCAGCGTGAGTTAGAAACAGTGATCAAAACATCTTTTTTTTTACAGATGATGTTGCTGATGAAGATTCTAGAAAAGAAAGGTGGAGCAGGTGGTCTTGGTGGAGGTGGAGGAGGCGGGAGTGATGGGGTAAAATTAATATGCAGTTAGTTAGTTAAAAAATAGAAACTGGGGTCACAAAGTTTAAGTAGGCAACACGCGTGGCTAAAAAACGTTGCTGTAGGCGGTCTTGTAGGCGAATGCATTTTAATAGACAAGAGCGGCAAGAGTATGTATCATGACTATAGATCTAAGGCCGGTTTAAAACCAATTAAACCAATCCGTTTAAAACGCAAAAAAAAACATTTAAAACCGAAATAAACCATTTTTTCTATATAAAAGGGTTGGTGTTGATGACTATGTTTTTCTTAATTATAACTAAATATTCTTTATTTTACCGAGGTAGGGATATGACGGAGTACCTATAAACTGTTTAAAGGGTTTTTATATGTGTGATATACTAATATTGATATACTTAGCGGGTTTAGTTCTAGTTGGTCCGTCCGACCAAGCTTAGGTCCTTTATTTTTACCTACCTCAGTTATAAAAACTCAATTGATAAGTTAAAAACTGTGTTGTTTAATAAAAAAATTTCACTGTTTTCAAACGATGTAAATAATCAATTTGATTCGGTTTAAAACCAAACTCACACTCTTGCACTCTCGTTGAAGTCGTCACTCGCGGCGGCGCGACGACCTTGAAGACATAACGTTGTCTCTTTCAAGCGCAAGTAAAACGGACAGCATCGTGTGCATACAAAAAAAATGGGTTATTTTAAACAATACATTATTATTCCTTTTCCAGTTAAATACGTTAGATACGATGTGCATTTCATGTAGATTAAAATTATGATTAAAGTTTAATACCGTATAATGTCCGTGTGGTGACGGATTAAGAATACAGAGTGTCACCACCCCTATTCATCCCGTGGGTGTCGTAAGAGCCGACTAAGGTAAAAAAAACTACGCAGGACAACAGCACTGCAGAGAGAAGGAAAACTTGACACAAACCCTATACCAACCCGTCTGGCCAGCGTGGTATAGTAGGCCAAAACCTCCTTTCTAAGGAGAGGCCTATGTCCAGCAGTGGACTATTAAAGGCTGTTGATGATGATGATGATGATAATACCGTTACCGACACCTCTATATATAAGTTTTCACTTCTGTCGGCACTCATAGAGTCGCACTGTTTTTTTTAACACCGGTTTTCTGTGAGGAGGTTTTATCGTATCGTAATACTTCGTCTTTAACTAGTACGTAGTTTATCTTTATTAATCAAATATGTGTCTCTATCTTTGTCTAAGAGTGTTTTTTATTAAATCTTTAAAGAGAGTTTATGAAAACAAATCAAAAATTAAATCTGCGTCATTTTCTAAATTCGGGTACAAAAAGATTTAACTGTGTCATTATAACATAATAAAGACGGATTACGGTACGAGTCCCAGGATTTAGCCATGATGTAACGTCCTTCTTTTAAAATCACCTCTATTCCTAAAGATAATTATATTAGAAAGTAAAATTTGTGAATTAATAGTTAATAAAGACGTAGGCCCCGATTTGAATGTTAAAAGGTGATTGATTTTATTACGTTTCTAATGTTTAGGTTATGTGTGTTGCTGAAATTGTCGTCTGTATTCTTCCATAAAAACTTTAAGTATGATATACTCATAATCTCACCTATCTTGATCAACACATTTGAATTTTAGAAAGAAAGAATTTCAACTAATTAAAGAACGAACGCGCCTACAAAATTTTTAATAGCAATTTGCAGATAAATAAAATTTGGCAATATGACACAAAGGTAAAGGCTCTGTGTAATGGAAATAACAATTTCTAGTTCTGTTCATGCTAACTATTTTATTTTCAGGGATGGGCAGCCAGTGGTGGTTCGGGCGGCGCCTGGATGCCAGCAGGTATAATACTTATATAACAAATATTGTAAAACGAAAATACTATCGTAAAATGAAAAAAAAAAAACCATTTGAAATTCAGGTGGACAAGATTTCGGCGGCGGCGGTGGATATGACGCAAATGGACAATGGCAGAGTAGATCAATATTTGAAAACAAAGAAGAAATCATAGAAAATAAACCTGTCATATCATACGTAGCTCCTGTAGTGACTTATAGCAATCCAAATAAGCTATACAAAAAAGCTAAGAATAAGGATAAAAGTGTTTTAACAAATGAAGAAGTAAAGACTTTGAGAAAATCACGTAAGAAGAGAAGCATAATTGATGCACTTCGAAATTCTTACACTTATTGGATGAAACAACTCTTAGGATTCAATAATAAGAACAGAAGAACATCCAATATACCAAAATACAAAATTATAAATGGTGTGAAATATGTATTTTATCCGTATCGTCAGCAGAAATATTATAAACCTGCTAAAGAAACTCAGAACAATAGAATAAAGAATAATCATGAAGAACCTACAGTTATAACCGCTGAAGATTTCAATAAAGGAGAAATTGTAGAGGGAGCAGTAGAAAGCCGAATGAATACGAAGAAAATAATGAAAATTAAGGATACAGTGAGTGATACTTTAGACGAAAACCCATGGGAATGACTATATTATTTGATGAAGCTTTATGTGCTCGAAAATATAGTTGAGCCGGACTTAAGAGCGTTTATGTTTTTGTAGATAATCTAGTGGTTTTGTTGGTAATCGTTTTTTTAGTTATTTACGTAATTTTAAGTATTTATTGTGCCTGATTTATTAATAAAATTGTTCAAGTCAAACCTATCATATTTTTGTTTGTTGTTAATTACAAGTATACAAAGATTTCAGTTGTTTATAGACAACTAGCTTTTTTTCGTGGTTCCGCCCGCGTAAATGATGGTTATCGCGGTACAAAGTCTTTCTTCAACATTAAAGTATCTTTATGCCCCATACACCCCCCCCCCCCCCACCCCCTTTACACCCTCTTAAAGGATGATTTATTGGATAAAAACTACTCTGTGTCCTTTCTCGGGACTTGGACGATCTCTCTACTCAACATCTCAATCGGTTCAGCTGTTTAAGCGTGAAGAGGAAACTGACAGACTGACAGACGGAGAAACATTCGCATTTTTTTAATATTAGTAGAGATAGAATGGACTGTAGTAGTACGGATGTTGTGGTTCTTAAAATAGCTACGTAAACGCCATCTCGTAGTGATAAATAGAACTAGGGTTTTTCTCCTGTCCTATCTTATCTTCTAACTACTCAAAGCATCTTCAATATTATGTTAGTCCAAAATATTTTTAGATTATCAAAATAATCGAAAGCACTCATGTAAACCATAAATGATTTTTACAAAAGCGACATCTGTGATTTACATGACACACTCCTTAGAAAATCACTCTGCCACCGAACCATAACTATCTTCAGTTAACTTACAAGACAAAACTGCTCTGAACGTTTTTACTACTCCGTTAATAGATTATGTTTTAAGTCACTAATACGTATTTATTTTTAACCGACTTCAAAAAGGAGGAGGTTCTCAATTCGATTGGTATTTTTGCATGTAAAATATTATAACACATGTTTCTGATTCTTTTAACAAATTAAACAATAATTTCAAACTATTGGTAACTATCCGATATGGTCTAGTGGCTAGGATACCTGGCTCTCACCCAGGAGGCTCGGGTTCGATTCCCGGTATCGGAATACCCTTTTTGGAATCGAGGAAATAATCTTTTACTCCAATTTACAAGTTTCACTGCTTAGACGTTTTCTATTAGTAAGGATGATTTATTCTGAGTGTAAGATATTATTAAAACATAAACGTTAAAAATTTAATGCTCATTAAAATATATCCATACAGATAATATCTGTTAAAATAATATATCTTACCTCTACTCTGACGTCCTTGACAACCTTGTACTAGGGTACAAGAGAAGAGGCAGACCGAAGAAAAGGTGGATGGACTGCGTGAGGGAGGATATGGCTAGGAAGGGCGTAAACAGTGAGATGACGCATGACAGAGTCGAATGGAAAAATCATACATACTGCGCCGATCCCAAATAAAATTGGGAAAAGGGTAGGCAGATGATGATCTTACCTCTACTCTGAACATCAGTTTATCTAAATATCTTTGAACTTGATACAAAAACGTAATTTTAACTGTTCCAATACAAGTTTTTTACTTGTGCGGGATCGTTAAACTGTACTCGTAGATACGGTCTGATTTGTTTTACAGTTGAGAGTCGTAGATAAGCCTAATAACAATCTGTCACTGTGAACTACAAATTACAGTTTTTTGTATCTAGTGCCAAACTGATAAAGTCCTATTTTTTTTTGTATAATTTCTCGTCTTCTGCAATATGTTGATTTTTTTTTTTGTTTACAAAGAGAAAAAAATACATTGACGTATACAATAATAGCAACTAAAAACCAACAAGTTTTATACCTGTGCTATCTCGAGTCTGTCATAGACAGACTCGAGATAGCACAGGTTATTATATATAAATCAAAACTATAAGAATAACAAATAGAAAAGGATTACAATCTACCAGCAACACAAAAGAAAAAATAATCTTACACTTACTAATTTTACTTAACATAAATACAACAGCAATTTTTGTGAATTCGTTGAAGTATTTCCTAAACGTATTCACAAATATTGCATCATTTTTAAACAAAACTTAAAAAATATTGCTTTAATTTAGATTTTATATTTTTGTTTGATATGCTGGTGGAAGCAACTAACGATTTTTATTGACCCAATACCGTGACCTAGGTACTTTTTGAGCAGTTTCGCACTTCGTCCGATCAGAATCCGATCCGATTCCGTGAAAATCGCCGGTCCGAAGGAGTCGTAGAACTATCTGTATTGTACCTAGTTAACGCACTAGATTCGACTGCCGTCATCCGATTTCTTTCCGTTATCCATGAATCTCCATTAAAAAGTAACCATATTATTATTTGTATGAACACACTTGGAATTCTTTACTTCTTCTGTGTCTTTTGTACGTAGGTACGCTGATCGAAAGAACTCATGATCTAGGACGTTATTCACAGTAAAGCGTTCGTTCGGATTGGACTCTGATTGGATCTGATCTTAAAGGACTGAAAGTTATAAGAAAGAAGGAATAAGTATCCTAAAGAACTAGTTAAGTTCCTAACTACTTATTAGGGTCATGTCCTTGAAAGTGTGGCGGACCGTGAATACTGCCACGGTATTAAAATCATTGAGGACACCGCGCTCACAACGCTTGATAGTATTTTGATGAGATATCTGTGATATATGTATTTATTTTAAGTCTAGTAGCTGGCTTTTGATTTCGGTTATGTAGTGTAGTGACGGATTAAGAATACGGAGTATCTTCACCCTTATTTACTCCGTGGGTGTCGTAGTAGCCGATTATGCATTAGCACTGCAAAGAGAAGGAAAACTTGAAACTAACCCTACACCAACTCGTCTGGCCAGCGTGGTCTAGTAGGCAAAAAACTTCTTTCTATGTTACTAGTAACTTGTACCATCTAGTCTACAAGGTCTTTGAAGTAAAGACTTCTAGGCGCCTGGGGATTTTTGAACAACAAACAAAAGAATGTATTTTAAAAGGCAAACCGTTACTGTTACCGACACCTGTGTCCAAGTGAAAACTTCTTGAAACGCGTTGGGCATTTTTTGAGATGAGAAAAAACAATTGAACTCGCGACACTGTTACCATTAGCGACACCTCTGTATATAAGTCTCACTTCTGTCGGCACTGTTTTTTTTAACACGAGTTATCTGTGAGGAAGTTTTATCACTCCGGAAGGACAGCTCTCTTTGTTGTTTAGTGTTGGGTAGTTCATCTTTTTTAAATCAAATATCTGTCTCTATCTCTCTCTAAGAGTGTTTTTTATTAAACCTTTAAAGAGAGTTCATAAAAACATATCACATTTTATAATACATTTTTTTAGACAACCCGCACTAGAAATATATCCTGTGTCGTAGGGGGACTTTACAAACATACATCAAACGGACAGAACGGACATCCAGAATCAAAACAACAATTTGTTGGTCATACAAAGTGTCGTCCCATGTGGGGATCGGACCCACAACACTCAGCGTAGTAATAAGCGACGTGGCGACCGCTTAAACCACTACGCCACCCGTGCAGTCAAACATTAATTGTTGCATCTGCGCCATTTTCAACATTCGGGTATAAAAAGCAAAACAAACAAAACAGTGTCGTTATAACATGCATTATACAAGGACTGAAGAAACAAGACATACGAGTAATTTATATTAGTTTGTAAGTAAATCGTAATTTGTATTCAATAAGTGATTGAATTGGCTGGCACCCATCGGCTGTCGCTTTCGAAAGCAAATCGTGCTGTTGCACCAAGCTTAACTGGAGTTAAAATCTTCAAGCAATAACCGTAAAATGAAAATGTTCTATTATGAAACTTCCTGCTAAGAGTTTGTTTAAGTTAACAGTAACTTCCTTAGTACAGTACATTAGTACAGTATAGTAACAGTAACTTAAAAGTTAAAAAATAAGTCCGTGTGGTGACGGATTAATAATAAAGAGTGTCACCACCCCTATTCATCCAGTGGGTGTCGTAAGAAGCGACTAAGGGAGCAAACTACGCAGGACAACAGCACTGCAGAGAGAAGGAAAACCTGATACAAACCCTATACCAACCCGTCTGGCCAGCGTGGTATAGTAGGCCAAAACCTCCTTTCTAAGGAGAGGTCTATGTCCAGCAGTGGACTAGTAAAGGCTGTTGATGATGACGATAATGAACAGTAACTTTTATATAAACATTTATATAATTAAACATTTTTACTACATCGTTCCTAATTGTATTTCATTGGTGAGGTAGTCGTGAAAATGTAAAAACAGTTTTTAAAAAGTACAAAATAGATTATACTGGGTCTTCTGGGGCAATCTATAACCACGCTTTTGCAAATGATCGTTTGATCGAAGCCATAGTCTCGATCTTTTAAATCACCAGATAGTTGAAACAACAATTGGTAAATTTTAATATGGCAATGTTTTGTTGTGCGCTAAAATTTAAATGTAATGAGAAAATGTAACTTCTATTTCACGCTATCGTGAATGTAAACCTTAATACTGTTGATATAGTTTTTGTTTTATTATACATTCGTTGTATTGACAAAACAAAAATGAAGTCCATCTAAATTATGTATCTACGCAGTCAAAAAGATTCTTAACGAAATCGGTTATTTGAGTTGATTTAATAAAGAATTCACGTTGGGACTAAATTACTAGACTAATATAAATGGTGTAATGGCACCAAGACACAATTACCGTGGGAGAGTCAAGTCATGCAAAAACTAACTGACTTGACCAGAGTGATACCACGGCCTCACATAAAACAAATCTTTTCATCGAGCTTTTCATCGACGAAGTGATTTTTTGACCCCTCCCCCCCTGTAATTAACTCTGGGGGAGACTCAAAAGATGGCAACGTGACTCTTGTCTTTGCAGCGATGTTCACTCACCATCAGACACACCTCTCTCCTCGTCTACTTGTTTGCCACCTATGCCATAAATAAGACATTTTCGATATCGGCTCAAAATCTTTAACGTCTTTCATCATCTACTTAACTCAAACTTAATCGGCGG